AAATAGTTGATGCTAACCGTGTGATTTACAGTGGGGCTTTTCAGCTCAACCTTTGGAGGGCTGGAAATGAAGATTGCCCAACAGGTGGTCAACCTATCTATGAGACCAAGATCCAATAAAAACTGGACAGCGAGGCTCAAGTGAGCCTCTCTGATTGATAATAGTCTGTGCATATTGTCAGATATTGTTGCTTTTCAGGCACTGGCACTGTCTGTGACTCTACTGGGACAAGACAACGGAAAGCTTCCTGCTTAGAACTCTCCTGCCCTGTGTCTCTTCCCTTGGCTGACTTTAATCTGAATCCTTTCGTTGTAGTAAACCATAACCATGAGTATACCAGCTGTCAGTGAATTCTGGGAGTCTTTCTAGTGAATTACTGAACCCGAGGGTGGTCTTGGAGACCCATGCTCATGGTTGATGTCTGAAGTGAGAATAGTCTTTGGGAATCTCAAACTTGGTATCACTGGATGGGTTTAAAAGCAGACTGGAGATGACAGAATAAGGAGTTATTGAACTTAAAGGCAGATTAACAGAAATTTTCAAATCTGAAGAATATAGAGAAAAAAAGATTTAAAATGTGAACAGACCCTCAGTAATACATAGCACAATACTGAAAGACTTAAGAGTAATGCAGAGTCTCATGAACAGAGGAAAGAGGGAATGGGCAAGAAGAAACATTTGAAAAAATAATAGGTAAAAAATTCCTAAGTTTGGGTAAAGATCTGTATCTGTAGATTCCAAAGCTCAAAGTAGCAGAGGAAGGAAAAATATAATGAAATCCACATTTAGGTATATTTCAGTTAAACTGCTAAAAACCAAAGTAGAGAAAATCTTGAAAGCAATCAAGAAAGAATTAGCACATGCTCTACATACTTTCAATTCTACTGACATATCATCAAAATAATAGTGACCAAAAAACAATGGAAAGACTACTTTAAACTGCTTTTTTTTTTTCAACGTTTATTTATTTTTGGGACAGAGAGAGACAGAGCACGAACGGGGGAGGGGCAGAGAGAGAGGGAGACACAGAATCGGAAACGGGCTCCAGGCTCCGAGCCATCAGCCCAGAGCCCGACGCGGGGCTCGAACTCACGGACCGCGAGATCGTGACCTGGCTGAAGTCGGACGCTTAACCGACTGCGCCACCCAGGCGCCCCAAACTGCTTTTTTAAAAAAATCCATCAACCTAGAATTCTGTATCCACCAAAAATATCCTTCAAGAACAAAGGTGAATAAAGACATTTTAAAGTAAGTAAAAATGAAAAGAATTCATTACTAGCACACCTGCACTACAAGAAATGCTACATGAAGTTCTTTAGACTGAAGATAAATGATACCAGATGGAAACTCGGATCTCTATGAATGACTGCAAGTACCATAAATGATAAATAAGTGCGTAAACAGAAAAGATATTTCCTCTTAATTCTTTAATATAACTGTATAGAACAAAAAAACACACTGTATTGTGAAGTTTACAAAGAATATAGACATAGTAATATATGTGACAACTACAGCATAAAGAACAGGGAGTAAGGAATCAATGGGTTTATAAAGTTGTGAGGCGCTTACATTTTAAGGGAAGTGGTATGGTATTAGCTCAAAGTAGATTGTGAAAATTTAAGGATAATATAACGCAATCTTAGAGCAACCACTAAAATAAATGCAAAAATAGACAAGTTAAAATAAAACCTATCTGATTAAATTAACCACAGATTGTAGGAAAGGAAGAACAGAAAACAAAATATAAATGGGACAAACAGAAAACCAACAGTAAAATAACAGACCTAAATATAACATCAATAATGACATTAAATGTTAAATGAGTGAAATTCTCTAATTAAGAGGCCATAATTGTCAAAATCAATAAAAAAGCAAAATCAAACTAGATGTTATCTGCAGTTAACAAACTAAAGACACAGATTAAATAGAAAGTAAAGAGATGGAAAAAGATGGACCATACAAACAACAGGTATAAGAAAGTAGCAGTGAGTATATTTGTAGCAGATAAAGTAGACTTCAAGACAAAAAGGTATGACCATTGACAAAAAAAGAAATATTTCATAATGATAAAAGGGTCAATCTGTCAGGAAGACAAACACACAAATGAACATTTGTCCAATGACAGAATTTCAAAGTCTATGAAACCATGTTTCACAGAAGCAAATGGAGAAACAGACAAGATCACAATAATAATTGGAGATTTAACAATCTCCTTAGCAATTGACAAAACATATAGACAAAAAAAAAAAAAAAAAAAAAAAAAAAAAAGAAAGAAAGAAAGAAAGAAAGAAAGAAAGAAAATCAAAACAAAGATGACCTGAGCAGCACCATCACCACCGTGACTGACATCTATGACATTACATCCGCTGAAATCCTACGAAGTATGTTTTCTGACCACAATGAAATTAAGCTAAATTTAAAAATAAATAAACTAAATTTGATGATAATAATGTGTCTAGGAAAATCCAAAATATTTAAAATTAAATAAGCCATCTAGGAGGTAAAGAGAAATCACAAATGATCCTAGAAAATATTTTAAGTTCAGTGAAGATAAAAACATAATCTGGTAAAAATTATTAGATGCAGGTAAAGCAGTGTTTAAAGAAATTTTATATTTTTAAATGCTTGTATTAAAAAGAAGAAAGGTCGGGGCGCCTGGGTGGCGCAGCTGGTTGAGTGTCCGACTTCAGCCAGGTCACGATCTTGCGGTCCGTGAGTTCGAGCCCCGCGTCAGGCTCTGGGCTGATGGCTCAGAGCCTGGAGCCTGTTTCCGATTCTGTGTCTCCCTCTCTCTCTGCCCCTCCCCCGTTCATGCTGTCTCTCTCTGTCCCAAAAATAAATAAATGTTGAAAAAAAAAAATTTAATAAAAAATAAAAAGAAGAAAGGTCAAGGTCAATCACCTGAGGTTTGACTTTAAGAAGCTAGCAAAGTCAGTAGCAAGAAGAAAATGATAAAAAAGAAACCAGAAATAAGTGAAATAGGAAAGAGACAACAAGCAATAAAAAAATTAACAAAAGCAAAACTCAGTTCTTCAAAAAGATCAAGAAAACTGATAAATCTCTAAGTAGAATGATCCAGAAACGGGGGCGGGGGAGGGGGTGGTGAGATGGTTTTCAGGTACAAAATACAAACTACCAGTAACAAAAGTGAAAGAGGGCACCTCACTAGATAGCCTACAAGCACTAAAAAGAAAATAAGAAAATATTATGAACAACTTAATGTCACTAAATTCAACACTTAGATGAAACGAGCAAAGTCTCTGGAAAATACAACTTATCAAACCTGACACAAGATGATAAAGAAAATCTGAATGGTCAATACGCACAGCCTTCTAAACTCCACGTTCCAAGCCCTCCAATCTATCCTACGTGCCACTCACTTGCCTTCCTTAAAAATCTAGTCTATCTTCTTACTCCTACGTTTCAAAACCCTCAGGAGTTTCTGCTAGCGTATCCTTGCCTAGTTTTCATACTAATCTGCCATCCTCTAGTGTATTCCTGAAGGCTACTCTGCCACCGTCCTTCAGACATGCCAATCCATTCTTTTACATATGCCTTCCCATCAATGCCATCTCATTCCTGGCCAAATCTCACCTATTATTCAAGGTGTAAAGAGGTCTATAATCTCCTCCAAGAAGTTTCCAGGCTATTCCCAGCCCTCGGGGTCTTCCTTCTTGCAATTTCACGGAAACGCCAGCATCACTAATACTGTCTTGTAGAGAAGCCACTGTTGCCCTATGTATTTGTCTTATTTTCCCTACTAAATTGTAAGCTCTTTGAGGGCAAAGTTGTTTTTTTTTTTTTTTTTTTTTTTTTTTTTTTTTTTTTTAGCATTTCTATCCCTAGGGCAACTATTCCAGGATTCAACACTGAGTAATGATTCAATAAATACTTGTAATCTATTGAATGAATATATAATGCCAAGAGCTTATTTCTACGGTCATCAGACTCTCTAGACTCTCATTCGGATCTTGATACTATCTTCAGAGTAATCTCCTGGGATCTGCCAGACATTTTCTAACAACTATATTCAGGAAACATATGGTTACAATAAACAGAGGTAGAGGTGACGGAGGAGTGCTTAAAATTATATAAACAGACAAGGGGGTGCCTTGGTTTTGTAGGTCATAAGAAAAGGGGGCTGAGTTTTACCTTCTGCTGCTACTAATACCTGATAAACATACACTAGTAGCAATAAGGCGACCTTCTCCTTGTCCTCTCCCTGCCCTGAGTCCATGTGGACACAGAACAAACAATGGGACTCAGGGATGAGTTCAGCTCATACTTGCAAATGCATCTGTTCCCTCCATTCATCGTGTACCCACATCTGTTTGAGTAGAAACAAGGTAACAGTGTCTCCTAAAAAGCAGCCAGTTACCAATACTTACTGTCTCTCACCATGACATATAAATTCCACCAAATTTATGTCTTAATTATAACCAAGTCCTACCAGTGACTGCAAATCTAACTTAAATAGATCTTTCAAAAATAATTTTGCATTTATACTAAAACTAGCAGCGTCATTTGTGAATACACACACTTTTGAGGAAAAAATACGGTTTCCTGTGGCATTAAAGTCACCAAGTAAAGAAATCCCTTTAAACAAAATTCTTCTCAAATTCCCTTCCATTCATGACTTCCTAGCAGCTTCTCTTTCATTTAAAGCAAACATAGCTTTTATATCCTGATTTCATTCTCTTTCTCTCTAATTAGATAAATCTGGTTGCTCTTCTCTCTAAACAGATTACAAGGTTGGGGTGTTTTGTTTTTCCAGTATTCAGAATTCTAATCCTTGCAGCACTGTGATGGCAGGAAGGACCGTGTGATTTAGACCAGGCAGGCTCTAAGGAAATATATCTAAAAGAAATACACAACACACACAATGCGGAGATTCTTTTGACTACAAACACACAGATTCCTGTAAGAGATAGTGGGCTACCTCAGCTATTTCCAGCCCCAAGGCATTGACCCTGAAATCCCGCAAGCAATCCTGTCCTTACCCAGATTGGAGGACGCTCGCCCCTCTGCAGCCCGGTCCTTGAGATCTTCAGCAATGCCCAGCTGCTGCTCATGGTACTGTTTAGCTCTCTCCAAATCCTGCATGCACCTGGCAGCATGGCCCAGGCCGGCATAGGCCCGCATCTCAATGGCCTTCTCCATCAACTCCTGTGCCAGCTCCAGCACGTAGTTGTGATAAGACATGGCCTTGTCAAAGTTTCTCCTGTAGTGATAGGCACTGCCCAGGTTACTGTAGGCCCGGGCCTCTTCTCGCTTGTTCCCCAGGTCCTTGGCTATCTTCAGATGCTGCTCATGGCACTGCACAGCGTTCTCAAAGTCACCCATGGCAATATACACAGCTCCCATGTTGCCAAGTTCTCGGGCCTCTGAAAGCTCATCTTTGGATTGCTTGGCAAGAAGAACACACTGTTTGTGACTGGCCAGTGCATTGGGGTAGTCACCAATGGCTGTGTACACGTGGCCCAGACTGCTCAGGGCTGATGAAGCTGCCTGGATGGGGAAAGGATAAAGCAGAGAATGAAAAGCACATCAGAAAGTAGCTTTGGCTTGTTTTAGCAGATAAAATGTTCAGGGTTTGCCTGTGACCATCCAACTCAACTCCTAATGGTTTTTCTATCAGTGGGCTGCAGACCTGTGCACAACTGAAAAAGAGCCCATTCAAACAGCAAGTTCCTAATAAAAGACAACTGTAGTTTAATCAGTAACTTTTAATACCTAATCTCATAGAAACATAGAAAAAGGCTGTGTTCCGTATAACCTTCATTTTAGTTTAAAGACTTATTGACATTTCTAGTATTCTGCTATAACTCTGTTAATGGCCACTAACCTCTGTAGTGTAAGAAAATGTTGAGGAAAACCAGAATTAATTATGACATATAATATAGCCGAGGAAATTCATGAAAAATCCATGCTTGGGTCTTTGCATTCCTGGGCATTTCTCTAATGCTTTCTCCCAAAGCAAATGGATAGATTAGTGGTAAGGGAGATGTTTAGGATGATGATTGATAATTTTGTGACTCAGGACCCACTGGAGGATCCTGTTCTCTTATCTTTTTGTTCCCTCAGTGGGACTTTATCAGTGCTGATTACCACGGAGGGCTTAGATTTGGACAAACCCCAGAGGAAAAAAATGGGTGGTTCCAACCTAGGCCTCTAACTGGGGGGGGGGGGGGGGGGGGGGTCCCCATCTGGCCTCACCACCTCTTTTCAGGCCCACACTGACTCTTCCAGCTTTGCTCCTCATGCCTAGAGGCTCTTCTGACCCTGGCCTCTGGGCACAAAGATGCTATATTCCTCGTCTCCTCACAATGCTGGCCTCACCAGTGGTTCTTGTGTAAAGAAAAGTACATGAGCCTTTTTTGTCTTAAAGGTTTCAGAAAAGGACTGTATGTTGATAGAGTGAACCCAATAGGGACAACAAAAACAACAAAAGAGTTACAAGGGTTCTGGAATCTTCCCCACCAAGTGTATATAGTCTTGGATTCTAGGTCTTTGGTTTCTAACTCCTTTGCAGAGACATAAAAGGGAAGTTACACTGGGCTTTTTCTAACCTCCTTATTTTTTTAATTGCTAATAATTAAGTTTTTATTTAAATTCCAGTTAATGAACATACAGTGTAATATTAGTTTTGGGTGTAGAATTTAGTGATTCGACACTTCCATACAATACCCGGTTATATGCTCATCACAAGTGCCCTTCTTAATCCCATCACCTGTTTAACCCATCTCCCACCCACCTTTTGATTCTACAAGTTGGAGACTTGCCTACCCTTCCCTTCCTTCATACTGTGCCTACAGCTAAACCCATGTATCCTCCTTTCTTCATAATGAACCCTCTTCTCGACAGGAGCATGTGATCCCGGCAGAACCAAGGGTGTGCTTAGTCACAGGTAGGCAAATGATTTCCACTAGGGCCCCAAGGCTAGGGAATAACAAGGAAGCAAGGCTGTCCCACCTGGAGTAAGGGTATTTCTTCATGAGATGTGTTCTTCGTACACTTCAGAACACTTTTATTAATATTTTATAGAAGTGAGTGATTTGCCACTCTATTTCTTTGCCTGTGAAATAGCAGTTCTTGATCAAAATAATTCAAGCACTGACCGTCTTTATGGTATTTGCAAATTGTGTATTTGCAAAGGGTTCCATATCATTTTAAGTTGCTTTTATCATTTCACAGATGTTCCAACAAAGAGATTTGGGAAAACAGAGGGGAAATAAATACTTAGAAATTTACTTTTTTGGGTTTTTCTCTGAGTAGAGAAGAGCACAAATGATTCCAGAGAGGTCACAATGCTGCAGTAGTGTGTTTCTAGCAGGAGCAGCAATGACGTCACCAAAGAGCACACCACTTGGACATATCCTGGTCTCAGCTTCCCACTTGAGGAGTCTCTTTGGGACAAGGTTAGAAGTGCACATCAGCACATTGCACACGGGCCTTTCTGCTGCCCACACCTCCCCTCCCCCCACCCAACAGTCTCCTTTTCCTCCTTTGCTGCAGGCCCAGGGACTCAGAGCCTCTTTCATCTTCTTCTGTAACGGGTCCTCCCACCTCACTCTCTGGGGTTCTCCACCCAAGCCTGGTTAAGGAGCAGAACACAGTCCACTAACCCTCCTACCTAGAAATCTTTGTTGCACACAGATTTTTCACTAAAGAGCTAGTGTAACCTAGAATCAGACACACTTGGGGTGCTTGGGTGGCTCAGATGGTTAAGGGCCCAACTTTTGATTTCGGCTCAGGTCATGATCTCATGGTTCATGGGATCAAGCCCTGTTGACAGGCTCTGCACTGGCAGTGTGGAGCCTGCTTGGAATTCTCTTTCTCTCCTTCTGTCTCTGCCCCACCCCCTCTCACATTATCTGTCTCTCAAAATAAAGAAACTTCAAAAAATAAAAAAAAAAGAGAATCAGACACATTTGATTTAAAACTGTACTGCCCATTACTAGCTCTGGGACCTTTAGAAACTTAACTGCTCTGAGCCTCAGTTTTCCAGACAGTTCTAGGTCCCAGCAGTGCACCAGGAATTGAGTGTTTTCAAACTCAGCCATGAGCCTCCGTCAAATGTAAAAAACATAAATAATTCACTAGATAATTCCAAATCGTAGATCTGGTTGGAGGCAATGAGCCCTCAAACACTGCAGGGGATGGACTTTATAAGGCCTGGGGCAGGCACAACACCCCAGGCATCTCTGATCCTAGGAACTTCCAGCTTATGGCAAATGATAGCCACGGGATCTCCTGCTTCGGATTTTCATTTCTCTAAATGCTACAAAGACACAGGAGCTCCATGACTGAAGTTCTCTGAACATAAGGAAAGGGAGTATTGGGGCCTTTCCCCTCTGGGGTGTGGGAAAATGAGGGGAGGACTACTATATTCGCTCTTCCTGGGGCACCCTCCAGTTACTAGGCAGCGCCATCAGGCTGCGGCTCTCCATGGCAGGTGTCCCAGAAACCAGCATCTCTAGAAAGGATAATATAATTTATGAAGCATACATCATAGCCTCTGAAATTAGAGAGGCAGTCTTGATGCAATATAAGGATGGAACAGGATTTAGTCAGAAGCCCTGGCTGTGTAACCCCGAGAAGTCACTTCACTCCTTCATCCAGATTTCCTTTATATGTAAATTGGACTGATAAGGACAGTGTACATACTTTCCAAGGCAAGGATGGGGACAGATGAAGCAGTGCATGTGAGTGTCCTGCAGAAACCATAAAGTTCTCTGTGAGTGCATCACTAAGGTGTGGATGGATGGTTTACGACTGCAAGCTGGCTGGGTGAAGCTCTGTCACCTAGCAGAAGCCAGTAATGGCAACTGAAAACATCAGTCATTATGACCAAACAACTATATTCCTATCAGTTGCCACAGGAAATAAAGTCCAGTGTTTTACAGCCCTTGGGCAAATAACATGGGATGATATTTATCAGCTAAGTGAATTACAAATTAATCACTTGTCTTTGTTCCTGTTCCTGTAGAATAAGCTTAGATCTGAAACATGGTTTCGGGCTGTTAACGAGAATCTGAATATCCACCCTCTATGGGGAATCACAGGCCCCACCTCAAGCAGATGCTACATTTGCCACTAAGGTTCACGCTGCCTTTGTAGATTAATCTCTTTGAGATTTTTGTGCTAGAATAGCAGCAGCTGCTTCCCACAGTGGAAACATTTTGGAACATCTGTATTTGAATACTAAAATGCACACAAACAGTTATGCTAACAAACTATCTGGTTGGGATAAGACAATACTTTTCTCTTTCTACAGGATATAAATTACTCATGTTCCTGCCAACACATGATATCAGCTGTAGACATAGCACACAGGAGTCCTCACCCTTTGCTCTGTGACCTGAATATTTGCAGAAGAACCACATCTGACAAGTCTGTTTCATGAGACTAAAGAAGGAAATTTGCTCATACATTTTCAAACCACCTTTAAACTTTTAGCTTGAGCATAAAATAGAGAAAGTTTAAACTACCCAAACTATAACCACATTGATAACATGACCACTAAAGATTATTTTATTTTACTTTATTTTCCATTAAAGATTATTTTAAAGCCTATGACTGTTTTCCTTCACATCTAGCAATCCCCCCCAACTCTTACTGTATGTATTTTTCATATGGGTTATATTTTGTGGGGAGATTAACTGCACATACAAAGAATACTGCAGGTAGTTTCTTAAAGGGGTAAATACAGGGGCACCGGGGTGCTCAATCAGTTAAGCGACCGACTTGGGCTCAGGTCATGATCTCAGGGTTTGTGAGTTCAAGCCCCGCATCGGGCTCTCTGTTATCAATGCAGAGCCTGCTTTGGATGCTCTGTCTCCCTCTCTCTGCCCCTCCCCTGCTTGGTCTTGCGTGCTCTCTCTCTCAAAAATAAACATTAAAAAAAGGGGGGGGGGAATACACTAGCTAGTACCAGAAATGTGGTTTTTCTTCTTAACTGACTAAATCCACATGCACCTTGTATTCCATGCCTGCGAGTTCAGCATCCACAATCCCAAGGTCCTAGGTTAACCCACTACAACCCAAGAGGGAGAGAGATGTAGAAGAAAAGGGACAGACTCTCAGATCAGGCACACACAGCTTCAATGACAAACTGTGTGATGTTGCACAAGTTATGTGACGTCTTTGAGCCCCAGTTTCCTTGTCTGTAAAATGGGACGATACCTTCCAGTGCTGTGGTGAGTACTAAATAAAAAGTTTAAAGATGTGGCAGAAAATGACCAGAAAATAGAACATGAAGTTATGTCACCAGAACTAAAAAGACAACACAAGACGCTTGCCCCACTGATGGTAAGATGTATAATCATTTTCATATACTGAAGCACATTACTCATATTCTTCTTCAAATGTAGGCATGAGGAAATTCACCCTTTACCCAGGGGTATTCTAGAATCATCCAACACTTAATATTGCTAAAAGCACTTTACTTCAAGTGGTCAAAGCTGACACAGACATTGGCATATTTAGGGTCTGTCGGTTGATTTGTT